GTCAGTCAGTCAATCAGTCAGTCAACAAACATTGACAGTGCGCCAGGGACACAGAGGGGCATAAGACAAAGAGCTCGGCTTTCTCTGCGCAGACAGGAGAATGCAGCTAAACAAGGAGAATGCAGACACCCTGTCCCTCCGCAGGTGGGGATCAGCACAGAAAAATAAATCCAGGGAGGGGCGTCGGTGAGTCTCCAGGGAATTACAGTTGTGAAATTTACGCAGGAAGTGAGTAAGACTCGCAGGATATGAGGAAAGAGGGCACAGCCAGGAGGCCATGGGGGCCCTGTGGTCTTAGAGATGAAAATGGACTTTTTCTTTTATTTTTTAGAGACAGAGTCTCCCTCTGTCACCCAGGCTGGAGTGCAGTGGTGTCATCACAGCTCACTGCAGCCTCCAACTCCTGGGCTCAAGCAGTTGATCCTGCTTCAGCCTCCTGAGTAGCTGGGGCTACAGGTGCCACCACCATGCCTGGCTCATTTTTCAATTTTTGGTAGAGATGGGGTCTTGCTATGTTCCCCAGGCTGGTCTCGAACTCTTGACCTCAAGTGATCCTCCTGCCCCAGCCTCCCAAAGTGCTGGGATTGCAGGTGCTCAGCTGACATTTTTTGAATGAGTTTTTTTTTGTTTTTTTTTTTTAAGTTTGAAAGAATTCTTTAAAAACTAGTTCCCATAGGACACAGATAAGGACAAAATCAGGAAGTTCTCAAGTAGCCAAAGGTCAGGAATCACTCGGTCACGGCCACCGAGTCCCAGCCGGCAGGAGACCTCAGTTCTGATGCGCTGTGTGACCTCCAGTGAGAAATGCACCCTCTCTGGACCTCGCCTGTCAGAGCCCAGGCGCAAGAACCCTCCGGGGCGCCCGCAGAGCTCTGGCTCTATAATTACTCCCGGGCTGAGAGACAGCTGATCCCTGTGCAGGCGGCGGGGGCCACGCGGGCTGTGACCTAGTTTCTCAACCCTCACCTCTCCCCGCGGCTTGGCCCGATCATCTTCTCTGGGTGGTGTTGAGAAGGGTTGGGGGGGGAATGCAGGTGGATTAAAGCCTCTAATGTCGCCCCTAAAGGGTCTGGTGCCCCACTTTGGGAGGAAGGGCCCGTGGGAACATGGGTGCCGCCTGCAGGACCCCATTCGTCCACTGTGTGGCCCGAGGGAGCTGCATCGGCCTCTCTGGTCTTCCTTCCCCGACGCACTGCCTGGGAGGCTGGCGGGCACGCAGGAGGGCGGGCGTGGGGGGAGGCCTACGGGGGGCTCCAGCCGAGATGCCCGGGGACCCCGTCGGTTCTGCCACTGCCGGGCGAGGAAGAGGCTGGGCGCCCCGAGCAGGCGGGTGGCCCTCTCTGGGCCCGGGACCCCACCCCCAGCCCTGTCCTCACGTAAGGTGGGCGAGGAGCCGGCCTCGGTTCTGGTTAGGGTGGGGCGTCTCATTCCCAGTCTTGCTTCTGCGGCGGAGTTTTGAGCCACCCGGCCCAGAGCGGGCTGACTTTGACTCTATGCATTTCTCTTCCCTTCCCTTTGCCTCAGCCTGTGGCCAGGGGAGAGGCAACACTGCAGGGCCAGCTCCGTCCCCTCCCGGGACCTGCCTGGGGCACCTCCCCCTGTCGCAGGACGGGGATGCCATCTGTTCACTGGCGCCGCTTCCTGGTGCGTCTCCACCACCGTGTGTCCCCTGAGCGCCAGCCCTGGGGACCCGGCCACACCCCCGCCTCTCCTGGGACCACCCGCGGTGTCCGGCCTCACCCCTGATGGCCACACGGGCGGACCCCCACTCCACCCGCCTTCTGGCTCGGGCGAGAATCCTCGCCCACAGCCTGGCCAGTCTGTCACCTGGCGCCATCGGCTCGACCTCCAAACACATCCGGGACCCGGGCTCCCCCTGCTCCTGGCCTCACGTCTCCCAGCCGCGGATTGGGACTCGGTCATGTGCGGGCCCCAAGGCCCCATGTCCTGGGGGCAGAGCCACCCCCAAGCCAGAGCCCCTGCTGTGGCAGGGGCCCAGGGCAGAGCAGGCCTCCCACGGAGCCCCGGCAGGAGACAGTGACTCAGCCTGTTACAGACGGGGAAGCAGAGGCCCAGAGAGGGCAAGCAGCGCGCCCAGGGACACACAGTACTCGAGCAGCAGCTGCAGGGCTGAACCCCAAGAGGACACACTCTGTGCTCCTCCCACGGCTCCCCCAGAGCTGGGGGACCCCGCCCTCCATGGGGCCCAGGCTTCTGTCCCATGCCAGCCTGGCAGAGCCGCGAGGCCCCTAGGAGCCGCCCTGGCTGAGCGTGGCTCCGTCCTCTCATGCCGCCCTGGGGGCCTCACCAAGACAGCGCCGGGCCAGCGGGCCCACGGGCAGCTCAGCGGGTGTTCGGGGACGTGGGCAGGGGGCGCCTGGGGCGGCCGTGCGGCCACTGCCACCAGAGGAAAGTCCACGCGGACTCAGACTGAACATCTGCGGAGCCCCGGGGCCTGCGCGGAGCACGCCACAGGCCCGACCCCCGCGCCCCAGCGCCCTGTGGGGCCAGGGTCCTCTGCCACCCCCACTTTCCAGATGGGGAAACTGAGGCTCGGAGATAAATGAGAGACTCACCCAAGCCACTACCATATGTTTGTCAAGCACTTCCTCTAGGCCAGGTCCTGGGATTCACTCATTCATTTGTTCATTCATTTGTTCATCTCTCTTCCCTGAGCCGGGACTACAACAGGGAACAGAGACGTGCAGACAATCCCTGTCCTTAAGGGGCTTATATTGTGGCGCAGCGACACACAATGAAACAAGCATATGGCGCGTCAAAGCTGGGCACAGTGGCACATGCCTGTAGTCCCAGCTACTCGGGAGGCTGAGGCAGGAGGACTCGCTTTAGCCCAGGAGTTGGAGGCTTCAGAGAGCTAGGCTGACACCACTGCACTCCAGCCTGGGCGACAGAGTGAGACCCTGCCTTAAAAAAAAAAAAAAAAAAAGGGAAAAAAAGCATATGGCGTATCAGTTGCTAATAAATGCTAAGGCAGGAGGGGACAGCTGTGTCCCCGGGTGATGTCACCTCCTCAGCTCTGTGCCCCGCCATCCACAGGCGTGAAGCAGGAGCTGGGGCCGGTGGCTGACGACCTTCCTGCCTGCCCCCCACCAAGGGGCGCACCCCACAAGAGCCAAGCTGCCAGCTGTCCCCACGGGGCCTGCTCAGGCCCGGCCTGGGCGGCGTCGTGCCTTGGCCGTGGGGGCCGGGGTGCGGCACCGCCCCCTGTGGACAGACGACGCCCGTTTCAAGGACAGAGGCTCATTGCCATGCACGGCGAGCCGCAGCAGAGGCCTTTGGCAGGGCTGGGCGGTCGCAGGGACTGCGGCCTTGGGGGTTGTGGGCGGGGGGCGGGGGCTGCCCTGAGGAGGCGGGGTCAGCGCGTGTGCAGACACCCCGATCCCGGATCGCACCCCAGGACTCGAGCTCGCCTTCTAAGCCGCAGCCCGCGCGGGCCCCGGCTGGCACGGGGAAGCCCACGCAGACCGCGCACCCCGCCCACGCCCTGCGATTTGTCCCAGTCCAGGTCCCCATTCAACGCTTTGTATATTCACGGTTGTGCGACCACCACCGCTGTCCAATTCCAGAACATTCCGTCACCCCCACGAGAAGCCCCGTCCGCATCAGCAGTCACCCCCCACCCCTCCCCAGCCCCCGGCACCCACGAGTCCAGGCCCCGTCTCTGGACCTGCCTGTCCTGGACATTCCACACAAACAGTCTCACGCTGCATGTCCTTCTGTGTCTGGCGCCTCTCACCGAGTAGGGGCTCGGGGGCAGAAACGGACAAGAATCGTGGAAACACGGGTGAGCCGGTCGCCTGGGCAAGGGCTGAGGGGTCTGTGGGTCTGTTGCTTTGCTCCGCGTGGCCAGGACCCGGACGGTGAGCAGGAACTGGCGGGCGAGGTGCAGGGAACAGCGTTCCAGGTGGAGGGAACCGCCTGGGCAAGGGAGGCTGGGCGCGGGGGGCGTCTGAGTTTGGGGCTGTGCGTTGGGGTTGGCAAGTGTAAAACCACACAGGAATCTGAACCCACGATAGGGTGTTTGGACTGGAATCTACGAGCACTGGGGAGCCACGGAGGATGCTGAGAGAGAGCATGGCATGACCTGAGTTGCGGTTTGAAGACGTGTCCAGCTCCGTGTGGTGTGACTCTCGGGTCACTCCACCTCACCCGAGCCTGGAAAGCCTTGTCTCCTGCCTAGACCTTGACCTTGACACAGCAGGACTCTAGTATTCCCCTCGCAAGTCCGTCCCCGCCACTACACACAGCTGGGAACGCCAAGGGCTCAGTGACGCCCCGTGAACTCAGCGCAGACTCAGAGGAGGCGGAATCGCAAACCTAGCGCCCGTCCCACTCCGGAGCCAGGACAAGGACTTACGGTCTTCCCCTGAGCCCACCACTGTGGCCTTGGGCAGAGACATTTACCTCTCTGAGCCTCAGTTTCCACTTTTGCACAAGGGACTCGGGGGACACCTGACCACCTCCCGGGGCTGCCATGAGGAGCAGGCGAGAAGTCAGCCGGGAAGGTGCTTCCCGGACTGGCACCTTCTGGACACGTCTCCACTGGCTGCCAACTGGGGTCAGGCCCTGTGCTGCCCCTGGCCGAGTCTTCACCTCATTCATTCACTCATTCATTCATTCGGCAAGCGTTTAATGGGCACAGAATCCCGGCCCTCTGTCTAGGGGGCTTTGAACTACGGCCTCCCCACAGATGTCCCCGTCCTAATCCCTGGGACCTGTGGATATGTCACCTCATGCGGCAGAAGGGGCTCTGCAGATGGGATTAGGTTAAGGATCTTGAGATGGGAGGTGACCCTGGGTGACCCGGGGGCCCAGTGTCAGCACAGGGTCCTCCCAATGAGGGGCGGGAGGGGCGGGCAGAGAGACCGGAAGACGCTGCGCTGCTGGCTCTGGGGGGGAGGAAGGGCCCCGGGCGGAGGGACGCGGGAAAGGCGGGAGACGGTTCTCCCTGGAGCCCCGGAAGGATCAGCCCGCCACACCTTGAGGTCACCCCAGTGAGGCCACGTCAGATCTCTGCCCCCAGAACTGTGAGATGACAAGCGTGTGTGGTTCCAATCATGCGTGGTGACGGCTACGGCGGCGAGACGACGCTCGTGGGAGGCGGTGAGGCCCGAGGGGCGCAGGTGTCCTGGAGGTGGCACCTGCTTCCCGGAAGCTGGGAGGCGCCTGCGTTAGCCGAGGTGCCAGCGCCTGTCTAGGGGTCCCCTGAAAACCGACCCTCACGCGGGACCCGGGGGGGGGTGTGAGGCCCCTCTTCCCTACGCCCCCACCCCGAGCTGTCCTTCGATGTGATCCTGCACGGGTTTGCCGGGAAACTCGCAGCCCAAGCGGGAGGCGGAGCGTGGCTGGGGGTCCTTCCCCTCAAAGAGGAGCTCCCGCCCGCGCCCTGGCCGAGCCCCGGCCCCTCTCTGTCCTCCTGCGCCGCCCCGCCAAGGTTACGCTGGACACGTCCTCCCTCCGGCCACTCTCGGGGCAGGGGATGCTGACGTGGTCCCTCCTGGAGGCAGCAGCTGGACCTACAGGGGCCAGGGAGGCAGAAGCTTGGCGGCTGGCCCCTCTGTCCCCAGCCCCCCCACCACAATTGGGGTGACACACTGCAGGTCCCCCAGGACTGGTGCAATCTATGTCCTAGATCTGGGCCCTCCCGGGGCTTCATCCACGAAATTCATTAAGCCCTAATTAGCTTCCATCTGCTGTTCGTCCCTGTCAACCCCTCGGGGGCTGGGGGCCTCTCAACCCACTTTCCTCGCCAGCCTGGGCATGGGGCTACAGACTGCCCTCTGCAGGCAGGGCCTCCGGATCTGGAACCGTTTTGGAGCACCCACTGTATACCCTGGCTGCTTCACCCACTAGCTCAGCCCTGGCGGGGGTGAGGGGGGGTGGGGGGAGGTAATGAAGTTTATCGTGGAGAAAAGGAGACTGAGGGTCAGAGTGGGCCCCAGCTCAACTGTCATTGCTCAGCTGGAGACAGTCAGCATTTGAACCTAGGTCGGATGCCAGCTCCTGCTCACAAAATCCCAGCTCCCTCCTGGAGGCTGGAGGACACTCCTCCGAGGCCTGGGATTGACATGCAGTGGTGGGCGGCTCGCTGGGGCCCCCCGGGACAAGTTTGCCAGGAGAGCTCTCGGAGAGGCTCGCTACCTGGTGACTAGGTGGTGACTCAGGGGTGCCCAGGAATGACAGCATGGTGGGAAGAGACATCAAACTGCCACTTCAGACCTGCTTTCTGTTCCCACTCAGCAAGGCACCTTCAGATCCTGGGCTTAGGCTGGGGATGACAGCCGTGGCCACCCCCATTGCGCAGACAGGAACACTGAGGCTGAGCGGGGCGAGGCAGGGCTGCTGTCATAGCCTTTGTGACCCTATCGAGCACCTGTTTTCAGGCAGCACCATGCCAGGGGCTCCCTGGGCCCGTCTGATTTAACCCTGTGTCAGGTAAAGCCTGATGTCATTTGCCTGAAGTCACAGCCCAGCCTCGGGACAGACAATCCCGAATCCTGCTCCCTAAACCTGCTGGCCTCTCCTCCCTCCCACACCACCAACCCTTCCCATCCTGCACACCTCTCCCAGGAAGCCCTCCCGGGTTGCTCCAGGCCTCATGGCTCTGCTGCTCCCGAAAGGTCCCCCCAGTGGGCCCCAGAGGAGCCCTCTGCCTGCTACTGTGCCACGCCGGACGCCCTCCCCATCCCTGCCCGGGCAGGAGCTTCTCAAGCACGGCTGTGTGCACATGGGCTCGCAAGAGGCTGTTGGCTAAAAATGGGGGTTCTGGGGCCCATCCCTCCCCGGAGAAGTTGTGATTCCTCAGAAATGGGGGGCTTGGGGGATAATTGCAGCTTTAGTGCCTGAGGCACATGCTGAGCAACCCAGTTACGAGGTGGTCTCCAACGACCCAGATCTTTTCTCGTGCCCAGATGGAGGTACGAGGTGCTGCTCCCCCAACTTGTTGAATGGGGTTTAGGGGCCCCCACTGGCCAGGCCCCAGATGCTGGGAGGCACCCAGGTGCAGCCTCAGGGGATGGAGAAAAGCCCCTACTACCATCTTTGGTGCTGCCTGGACACGGGCCACAGAGCAGGGGCTCAGCCCTGTACCCCCAAATTCCTCCCAGCCAGACTGAGCTGTCTCCAGCTCCAGGGACCCCAAACACCCTGTCTGCCTTCCTGCTCCCGCATCCCCAGGCTGGACTAGACCTAGCTGGGGGAGACAGGAAGGTGGGGCGCTGTGGCTGCGTCCAGACGGCCCCCCATCCCCAGACCCAGCCAGTCCCCTCTCAACCGCCCTGGAGGGGGCGCAGCCTTCTTGGCGTCCCCACTGTCCCCAGGGAGATGCCCACCTAGTTCCCCACTCCTTGGTGCCCCGAAGGAGGGGCGGGTGGACCCCAGCGTGGGGAGGTGCCCCCCAAAGTTTCCAGGGGGAGCGCCGGGGGCCTGGCCAGGAGTGACGCGCCCGGGAGGGGCGCACGGGGCGAGTGCCCCCGGCCGGGGATGGGGGCGCCGATGGGGGCTGCGGGCTGCAGAGGCGCAGGGTGCAGGGAGCGGGGTCCCCGGCCTGCGGACGCGCCCTGCCCGGGCCCTGCGCGCGGCCACTCACCTGGGCGGCTCCGCCGCGGACACGGCGCGGGCTGCGGCGCGGGGGCCGCCCGGAGCCGACTCAGCCGCCGCCACCGCCCACGTCGCCTGCCAGGTTCCGCCGTGCGCGCCCGCCGCGCGCGCCCGCCGCCGGCCTCTCCAGCACGCATGGCGGGGGCGCGCGGGCTGCGCCGGGGCGCGCGCGGCTGCCGGGGCCGCAGGTGTGCGGGGAAACGTGGGCGCAGGTGCCGGGGGTGCCAGCCGGGCCGCAGTCGGGACACGCGCCACGGCGGCGCGCGGGGCTGCGGGCAGGACCAGCGCATTCGCCGCGGGCACTGTGTCCAAGACCCTCTGTCCCCACGGCCTCGGCAGGCCTGCGCAGACTGCCCTGCAGGAGACGCAGGGGCTCCCCAAGTGCGCAGGTTGTCCCATCTGGAACCTTCTGGAACCTGCCACCTCCTCCGCTCCCTGTCCTCAGCCCGGGCCTCCACCATCTGCACGTGGACACCTGCACTGGCCCAGCCCTCAGGTCCCCTCCGGAGAGGAAGCTTAGCCACTGCGCCCCAGAGCCTCCTGTGGCTCCCCATTGCCCTGGGCCCTGCCTAAACTGCACGTGAGCCTTTGGACCTGCCCACCTCGGCCTCATGTCCCCTGCCTGGCACTCCCCCTTGGTGCCCAGTTCCTCCCGTCCCAGGGCCTGGCACTTGCTGTTCCCCAGCCTGGAATGCCTTTCCCTCCATGCTTGCGCACAGCTGTCTGTGACCACTGTTTGTCTAGCCTGGCTTGTCCCCTGCAGCACCCCTGACCAGCGCGTGGGGACACGCAGGAAGTGCTCAGCGAGTGTTTGGGGACAGAATGAGTCTTTTACTTTCACACGTAGTGACCAGTTTGGGGAGCCATGGGCGCCCCTGTACTTGGGAACATTGGCCTCATCTGATGACGGGGGGACATCTGAACCCCTGAATGTCGGTGTGAAGGGTCCTACTCCCATCCCCCAAGCTGGGACACTGGGGATCCCTGGGGACAGGAGTCAGACCAGGACTGGGACCCCAGGGTGGGGTGTGCTGAGCCCCAGGACAGGGTCTGCCCAGCAACAGCCAGGAGTGAGCGCTGCCCCACACCGGGAGGTGGGGCTTTCTGCAGCTGCCCCACACCGGGAGGTGGGGCTTTCTGCATCGTGGTGCGTGCAGGGTCACAGGGCAGAGGTGGGGTCATCCCCGATCCTACAGAAAACACTGCTGAGACCTGCTGAGCCCTTGCTGTGTGCCGGGCTTGGTTCCCAGCACCAGACTTTGATCCTTGCTGCATCAGAACTGTCGCAAGGTGAACACTTATTATTCCCGTTTCTCAGATGCGCAGACTGAGGCTCAGAGATGCCACCTGTCCCACTGGAGGGGCAGAGAAGCCTGGCTGCCTCGGGCGCCTGGGTGTGTAACCCTGCACTGTCCCCCCTGCAGTCCTCCCCACCCTCTGCGTCCTCCTGGTGGCTTTGGTGGTGGCTTGGCATCCACTCGGCCACCTGTGACTCAAGCAGGCTCCGGTCCCAGACTGTCGCGTTGGCTGGAGGCCCAGAAACCGCATCCCGGGAGGCCGCAGGCCAGTGCCCCCATGGGACGCTGCGGGGGAGCGCTTCCCTCCCTGGCTCTTGGAGAGGCCCAGAAGGACCACATGACTCCTCCTGAGGTCCCCTCCCCCACCGGCCCGCCCAGAGGAGGAGCGTGGAGGTGCCACTGTGCTGTGTGACCTCAGGGGAGTTGCTTCCCCTCTCTGGCCTTCAGTTTCTCCCTCTGCAAAATAACTTCCTGATCTCTGCCTCTTGGGGCTTTTGGAGGAAGGCATGCATTGTGCACCTACTGTGTACCAGGCCGAGCTCTGGAGGGAGGAAACTTTGAGGAACGAGGGGAGCAGGTGCATGAAACAATCGCAGAGGGGGTGTGGGAGAGACAGCAGAGACGCCCTGGTCCGACCTGAGCCGGGTATAGGAGGATCCCCTAGGAGGGGACACTTGCTGTGAGTCCTGGAGGGTGAGGGACATTAGTCAACCGCCTGTGTTCGAGTCTAGGTCCTGCCATGCCCTGGCTGTGTGACCGTGGGGGGACTCTCCTCCAGCCTCAGTTTCCCCATCTGTACAATGGGGACAGGAGCAGTTCTCATATTCCAGGGCCCCCGGTGACAGGGACACAAGCCTAGGGCTGGAGGACAGGGGTTAGACCGTGGGTGCGGGCATCGGGCCAGGCCGTTCCCTCGTCCTGGGGCGCCCGGACATCTGCCCCGCCGCCCTGCTTCACCTCATGCACGCACGTCGCCCTGTCTGTCCCTCCTTCCGGGCCCCCTGCATGTTCCTGTTACGATCTCTGTGATTCAGTGACCCATCCCGCGGTCTCTGCCCAACCCTTCGTCGCCGTGTGGCACACAGCAGGCGTCCGACACAGGCTGGCGGGATGCATGAAGGGTCCAGGGGCACTGAGGGGGGTAGAGGTTGCTCCCAGGACAGGCGTTTCTGGGGGGCCGAGCGGTTTCCCCGGAGGCGCTTC